CTATGCAAGAGGCGTATTCCCGAGCATATCATGTATCCAGTTCGCCATAGACACCAAGTAGGTATGCAGGCATGTGCATCTGTACATGCTTTGTCATCAGCTACAAGTTCCACTCCCCTCTAGCCCCTGCATGTGGCCTTATACTACACACAAGCGGCTTCACAGGCATGGACACTAGAGCTGGATACGCTATCATGGAGCATGGTCATCATCATAGTGTAGTCTCCCATAACCACCGATGATCAGCTCAGTCTTGGTGTTGCTGTAGGCTATTGGCGAGTCGAAGCCACCCAAGAGTGCTGTGTACGAGTTCCTCTCAGCTGAGCAACAACAGGAGGCCGACGACTTTCTCAAATCGGAAATCCTCCCAGAAGTCAGGTATTATGCGGCTTTGGTCATCTACTTGGTGTAGAGCCGTTCTTAGGCGACTATGGTTGGACTCAGACGTTGAGAAGGAGTTCGAGGACGAGTGGCTGAATAATGCGGCACCGATTACTACAGATGATGTGGCCCTCATGGAGAAAGCCTTGGAGGAGGTACATGAAGCTGCAAGTAGCTCGAGCTTTCCTCCTCGGGTGCGCTGACTACTGGTGTGTATAGATAGCAATAATACGTCGAAGCATGTTGAGGCTAGAGAGAGGAAAATACAGTCAGTTAAGGAGACGATAGACAAACAGGAAGAGGATCTAGCAAAGGACGAGAAGCGGCAGAGGAGAGGTCTCGGGCTCAAGCTTCCTGAGGCTACTAAGAGACAGAAGCTTCTTATTGCGGTAAGGAGGAGCAAAAGGCCAAAACATCTACGGCACTTCTCATGTCAGGTACTACCTAACAGAACAGCCAGTGACATACTCTGCACTTTCCCAGAGGAGATACTACCAGGGCCCAGGCTGTACAACATAACCCTCCGTCTAGCATGGTGAGTGTCCATAACCAGCATCATCGCCTCGTCAACCACCACCTTCGTCAACAGGGCCATCGTCTTTGGGGAGTACGGCCTATCTGCGTCGTCGGG